GATTAGCAACCCAAGGTACTTGCCTGACATGGAGGCAGTCTATGCAGAGCGCGCAGGGCTGAGGTTCGAAGCTTTCTACCGAACGATGGACCTCACGAACCCCATCAAAGCTATCCAGGAAGGCCCTGCGGAGGCCGAACAAGCCAAACAAACCGAGCAAGCAGATGCGCCAACTGAGGAACCAATGCTTGAAGAATACGCCCCCTCAAACCATCACCCCACAGATAGGTACACAGCAGCTAGTGCCAGCTTGCAGAGTGCGGACGGACAGACAAACGCGGCTGCCACTGGCTCAAACAGGTGTTAGTCACCATAGTACAGTGCCTGCTGTAGGAGAGGGCCTAATGGACAATCGAGACAGTGACAAAGATAACTTTGCAGGTATCTGCCACTGCCCACTGAGGCTAGTTACCTTGGCAGGCAAAGAAATAGAAACAATAGTGCCTATTAGCATTTACCATCATTGGGAAATGCTAGAAGACTACCTGGTGGAGTTGCTAGCCAGAAGATTTGACCTTGACACTTTTGGATGTGAGTTAATGCTCATAGCGGAGGACACCCTCAGCCCCCTTTGTGACCCTATCCACGAAGAACTCTGGGAGCACAAGAGATTTCAACTAATCATACATACTAGCTTCCGAATTGTGCACACGAAGGAGCAGGTCCGCAGAGATGAGTATAATGATCACCCCAAAGCCATCTGGGTCCCTGCCACTGAGTCAGGCATTCTCCCGGCCAAAAGCGTTCTTCGCTCTAGCCAGGCTTCGACACGTACAAGTAGAAGCCGGCTATCATACCATAGAGAGGCAGGCGTGGCGTTACTGCCACACCACACCCTCACGATCGTCAAACTGCCGTGCTCGGTGGTCACGATTGCGAATGCTACCTTCCAAGGGTGCTATGCACTCACCACAGTGGAGATGCCAGGGTGCCTGTCCCTAGGAGCCAGGCTCTTCGCAGAATGTTGTGCGCTTGAACAGGTAGGGGTGGTCACAGAAAGCCCCTGCCGATTGGCAAGTGGAGCTATTATCTCCCCCTATGCGTTTGAGGGATGTGAAAGACTGGCACAGATAGGCCTCCCCTCGACCAAAGCAATCATGGATTTGCGTAGTGTGTCATCCCCGCTTGAAGGCTTGCCAGCTGGATGCTTCTACTCCGCCGGCATCCAGGTGCTTAGTATGCCCCAATCAACTGCGTTTATCGGGCATAAGGCCTTTGCACGATGCCAACAACTAACCGAAATTGACCTGTCGCAGACACAGGTGAGCATTGTGCACATGCAAGTCTTCTCGCATTGTCGGTCGTTGGCACAGATATCCTTGCCAAAGCACCTTGCCGAAATTAGTGCTGAGGCTTTCGAAGCCTGTGTTTCGCTGTGTACTGTAGCACTCCCGCAGCAATTGCGCTGCGTTGGACACAGAGCCTTTGCAGGGTGTAGCAAGCTAGTTTGCCTCACCTATCGCAGTACAAAGGCCGGCCGACGCCGCCTACAAGTGGCGGCCAATGCCTTCGAGGGATGTCAAGCACTGTCCATTCCTGGAGGGATATGCTACCTGTCCGCACGGGGTAGTCAGGGCACCCGAAGGCGCATAGTCTGGGAGGGTCGAGATAGTGAAACAGCGCAATCGCACTAGGAGACAGCAACTGATGGCTGCCCGTGCAGTTGTCCTTTCCCCAACATTGGTGAAGCGCTAACAACCAGTAGCAGCTGCCAGAAAAGTAAGCCTGATTGAGGTCTGCCGCAGGACCTTTTGGCTCGAAAACAGGTGCGCATTGCTGCGCAGTGAACTTTTGACCATGATAGCAGACCACATTTCAGTGTCCACCTCGCAATGGAGCGAAGAAAGGTCAATGACTATCTGCTTGATATTAGCCACATTGGCAGGAGAAGAGACCCAGCTAACTATCGAACTCCAAGAATTTGACCGTCTCCAGGAATTCGAAAATGCAGTGTTGGAGCAACTTCCCGAAATAGGAGAAAGCAGTACGTTTTGCTGTGAGCTGGACTTTGTCTGCCGCAACTCGCAGCAGAGATTAGTGGACCCGATATGGCACACCTTACGAGACTGCAATTGCTTCATGGTCATTGTGGGCTCATGTGTTGAGACAGCCGAGCACAAGGGGCAATTGCAAGGTAATGCCAAAGCGATTCGAGTCCCTTTCCACGCCATTGATCGAATCCTCCCACTAGCTTTCTCGTACGTGGCAAACGTGCGACATGTGCAGGTTAACGCTGGCTATCGCATCATAGGAGAGGAAGCATGGCGCAACTGCCAGCACCTCCAAATAGTGCATCTGGCCAGCACAGTAGTTAGCCTGCAAACGCGTGTCTTCTGCCGGTGCTATGCGCTGCGCACGGTACTTGCCCCTGGCTGCAAGCAGTTTGGGGCCCAAGTCTTTGAAGAGTGCTGCTCCCTGGTCCAAATTGGTGTTAGGGATGATGCCACCAATCAACTAGCTCCGCAGGCAGAATTAATGTCAAGAGCTTTTGAAAAATGCAAAGCGTTACGACAACTCGATTTGGAACAGTCTGAGCACAACCCTCACAGCTTGACGCGGTGCTTACTAGAGTGCTGCTTCCTTGATGCTGGCCTAAACTCATTGACTCTGCCCCCAGATTTTACATGGATTGGACCAGCAGCCTGTGAACGCTGCCTGCATTTGCAATTGGTGGACCTGTCACGTACAGGGGTTACGGAGATCATGGGATGTGCTTTCGCGCACTGCAAACACTTGCGATCCCTTTGGCTTCCACACAAACTCCGCACAATTGAGCAGGAAGCCTTCTTTAAGTGCTCCTCTCTAACTGAGGTCAGCCTGCCACCTACATTGCTCTATATTGCAAGGCGTGCCTTCGCGGGGTGCACGCAACTCCATCGATTTCAAAGAACTGGCAAAAGCACGACCTGGAGAGGCACGTACTCTCGAGCCAATGCTTTCCTTCGTTGTGACAATCTTGACCTGCCAAAATGGGTTCGTTGGCTCCCACGCAATCCGAGAGATGAAGACCAATGGGCTGATGACTCCGTTGCAGTTCTCAATTAGGGGTACATGTCTAGAGCTACACATAGCTGAGCTTCTTTGCTGGCACCGGTGTGTTGGCCCTATTCGCATTAGAGGCCACCTCAGTTGAGTACCCTAGAGTACCCTAATGAGCAAGCTGTCCATAAAGAAACGCCAAATGTGACTTCGGTAAGTGCTATTAACCAGGACTATGATGACAAGAGGACCAACAGACACACGTTACCACGCGCATGCACTACAATCCGCGTATGCAAATACTTGCTAACACCCGCAAGCTAGCCTCTTAGGCTAGCGCCCGTGTGCTGGTCCTAAGAGTGCCAGTTGCTCTTCGTTTGATCTCCGCATTCGATGGCCTGGATAGTTAGACAGTGCCCAGGCTGCTACCCGTGTAGTGGTTCTGGATGGGTACAGTGTACAGAGTTAGGAAAACGGCGTCTCACTTTGTCTCACCTGTTTTCGCGTAGTTTATGGGGCCTTGCATGTATCGGCCATACCCAGCCTGGCCGCGTTTGAAAGGAATGTCAGATGCCTGACTACATCACTTTTGCAGCGCTCATGCCATGGAGCCTGCTCAACTTGTGTCATCCAAGGAGCATGTTTCGCCCCCCTCCCGTTGCTAAGCCGTTTTGGAGTCGGGGCTGGTCTGACATGCTCCCTTTGCTGCCTCCCCCCTTGGGGGGAGGAACTGGACAAGCAACTCCTGCAGCCTCTTTTTGGATACTCGCCTAATGGCTCCACACTGTCTTTCGTCATCGGTATTTTGGAGATTCCAAGTGCGAAGACAGTGGTCTTCCCTCCGCTGTCACTCCTTGGCTGGTAAGAGGCTGGTCGCTGCCTGCTGCAAAGCAGTCTGCCTGACACATGTTGCGAAAATGATCCGATTTTGTCATACAGGGATCAACCAGTGACACGCGCATTAGATCCTGCCGTGTGCTCTTCAAGGGAGCACTACTTCGAAAACTGACTGTGCAAAGTGCCAGTTGAGGGAGATCTCTTAAGCCTCCCTCTGATTGAACAAGATCATGCGTTGAAGTGCTCAGAGATACGTGAAGTTGCTAAAGGACAAGATCTACTGAGCGCCTCGCGGAATTCGCTGCCCCTGTTTCACCGCTCTTCACCATGCCTACGTGGCCATGCGAGTTGCATAACAGGTTGCTCCTCCCCTTGTCTCCTTTGGGGGGTTGGTTTTGTTTCTTGTTTCTGTTTGTTTGTTGGCGGTTTGGGGGTTCTCTTCTTGCGATTGGTATGCAACCTGTACAGCAACTCCTTCTTAACTCGAACTAGGTGACTTGTGCAGAACCTGCGCACATAGCGCCTCGACTCGTGCAAAAAAAACTGAGGAATCCTGTTTGCTTCCCCGAACGTCCGGATAGTTACCTCTTTCCAAGGAAATTGAGACGTTTGAACTGTAGAGACCTTTTGCTGTGACACTTTTCCTTGTTTGGACTGCTCTCGGTGTCGTGAGACAGTGGAACTGAGTGATGACCGCCCGCGGCCATTTTTGTTTCAGACGGCCACAGGTGACCTTGCGCCAGGCGAAGGGTTTTCGTTTGTGGTTTGAGACATTGAAACCGTTGATGTGTGCTGCAATAAGGAGTAGCTAACCATGAGTGGCTAGATCAGGGGTTTTGAGTGTCAGACATGTCCAGTTGTTTGTGTTTCATGCCAGGGATTGCAGGGTTGAGACGCCAGAGAATGACAGTTTGAGACTTCATTTGTTGCAGAGTTTGTGGAAACAGTTGTGCAAAAGGTTTTGAACATTCTTCTTCTTTTCAGGGTTGTAGCAGTTTCGAGGGTTCTAGAACATCTGTTCCTTTTGGTATTGTGTTGAGCTGTTTTGCTTTCTTGTGCTGTGTGCTGTGTGGCAGAGCAAGGGTATGCTTGGCTTCTGTGATTCATTGCTCAAACTCAACAGCCTGTCAGCTTTGCTGTGTGACTTTCGCGTTTTGATCTCATCTTTCGCTTTCGAAGCCATCATGACCTCTATGGAGCGCCCAGAGACCAATGCCGTGGTCGTGGATGAGCCAGCTGCTGCTGGGACCGCTTTGCCGGCTGTGGGGATTGATGTTGTTCCAACTCCCAAGGCGGCTGGTCCTGCTGGACCACCCGCTGGGGGCGAGCCCAATTTGAGGGGAGGGACAGTGTTTGGGGTCCTCTTGCAGGACCGTGACCTTTTGACCGTCCCGTTGGACGAACTTATGGCTTTGAGTATGGCTTCTGTCGAGGCTTCTGACCAGTTGCTCTCGGAAACTCCTTTTGAGATCGCAAAGGCCGAAGCTGAGAAATGGCACCGTAGTGCTGGACAAGCCTTGGATGCGATGCATGGTGTGCAGAGTGATCTTGACAAGATCCAACGTATCCATGCAGAGGAGCCGACTCGCAACCTCGCCGAGATTCCGCTGCTGCCGGAAGGGAATGGCACCAATTCAGGGGTTACTTATCAAGAGCTTCAGATCCGCCGACAGGCATATCAGCTGCGACAGCAGCACCTCCGGGCTGGAGCGACTTTTGGTCGCACGTTTATTTCCAAATCATGTCAGCTCCAAGTGGTGACTTGGCTCCTTTGGAGTCTTTGCCTGCCAGCTCCCGAGCGACAGCTTTGCAGTCTGTCGACCATCTCCAAGACATGCTGAGATGGACCCTGGGTCGGTTCGCCCGACTTCAGGACGTGTGCGGCGAAGTCACGAACTTCATGAGTCAGGTCGCGGAATCGGACGAGCATACCAAGACCAAGCTCGCCGAGTTGACCGACAAGGTCGTGGATTTGTCGAACGGGCTGATTGGTTTAGCCAGTTCGGTCCGTCACACGCAAGACGAACAACTCAAGACTGCTCGGCAAGCTTCGAAGAGCTTGGGGGATGTCAGTTGGCAACTCAGTGGAGTTGGCAAAGGAGTCAACACTTCGGTGAAGGAATCCTTGCTATCCATCGGTAAGATGATCAGCCAGCTCGATTCCAATGTCGGGAAGCAGTGCAAAGCACAAGATGAGACCAATTCCCTTTTGAAAGGTCTCAATACCCTCATGAAGGCCCTCGTCGATGTCGAGCAGCGCAAAACGACGCTTGTGGAAATTCATTTGAACTCCCTGTTGTCTTGTTCAAGTTTTCTTGTTGAGTCAAGGGCATGCGCGTGTGCGATCTTGAAAGGTTGAAGTTTTGCGCTTTGCTATGTCTGTACTTGACAGGATGAAAAGGGAAGAGGCCAGGGGTTCAGAGGAAGTGAGATCAAGAAGAGATCAAGGGTTGAGAATTGTGAGAATCAGGGATGTCTTTTGCATTTGCACCATGTACCATGGCAAACAGTAAAGAGGGTTTGTAGCTAGCAGGGGATTCTAGCTTCCTTTGATTGCTGTGGACTTTGGACCGGATGACGTTTGATGTCGAGTCGATTGGTTGCAGTTGAGGGCAAGCGAAAGGGTTTTGGAACTCAAGATGTGCTTCAGAAGCTGTCAGTGAAACAGTAACCCAGGGTTTGTAACTAAGGGGTTGAAGCTAGACTTCATTTTCACTTGCTGTTTGAAGCTTTGTTCACTTTTGGACTTGTCAGGTTTTGTCACGATGAGGTTTTGTCTTCAGGAACCTTTTGTTTGCTTGGCCTGTCAGGTACCCACTTGGAACCGTTTGCGGTTTGGCTGCAGCACTGCTCCCTCCCTTGCGTGTCCAAGCACTTGGAGGCCAAAGCTCTCAAGCGAGCTAGCAGACTGTTTGCACCTAGACGGGCAGGACATTAGGATTGTTTCGTGACAGTGACGCCCTGGCTCAAACCACCAGATCTTGTACAAGTCAGACCCCATGGCGACCCCCAGTGCCTCCAGGCAGGTCTCATCCAGGGAGAGCGAGCCTGTGAAGGAATGCCGATTGGTGCTCACCACCCTGTCGGGCTCAGTGGTTGAGCTGACCATGAGCGTTGCCAAATATGACAGGCTGGAGGACCTAGAAGACCACGTAGTGGACTATCTTCTAGCCTCTGTAACTGACCTTGAAGTCTTTGGACGCACGCTGGACTTTGTACATCCCACCACGCAAACGTATCTCGAAGACCCGATATGGGAAGTGCTGCAAACAAACATGCAGTTTACCAATATGTGCTTAGGGACTGCCGTGCTTTCCTACATTCGAAGGAAAACTTTGACGGATGTCCATACCGTGACATCCCACAAGCAGTCCAAGTTCCAACAAACCTGGCAGGAATCGTCCCCGCGGGGGCCTTCATTGCCGTGCCACGCTTGCGACGTGTCAGTGTCGAGGCAGGCATCAACGCAATTGGAGCTGAAGCGTGGCAAAACTGCCGACATCTTAGGGTGGTCAGGATGCCCAGCACTGTGGTGCGAATTGCGGATCGTAGGCTCACTAAACTCCCAGGCCGACACCGATGGCGGGGGACTTATGCAGAGGAAAATGCTTTTGCCATTTGCCCTGCCATGCGTTGGCCACCGTGGTTGCACATGATCCCTGATCAAGGCTATGTGTCAGGCTTAGCTTAGTTCGCCCACCCATATGAGTCAGCAATATCGAAGTTGTCATCCTCCAAGTCTTTTCGTGCACGCGCCTTGTCCCACACGTCAGACGAGGCTTCCACCTTGCCAGTACACGAAGGTCACGCTTGCTAAAGCGGTCCAGATAAGCTGTACCTGCTGGTTGCCTTTTTCGTCTTCGCACTAGCTGTTAGTGAGCCGACCTGGCTGTGAGCCTCAGCTCTTGGCCAAAAGTTGGCGCGTGGCAGTGGGTCTGTAGACGATTGGCACCCAGGTGAGAACCTCAGTTCTTTGTCTGTGGAAGTCAGCACTCAGCCAATCTTGTACAAAGATTGCACAAGAACCATACTAGGATCTTACTTAGGTTTCACCTGTTTCACCAGGGCCATGCATGCCAGAGGATAGACTTATAGTTGACTGTTCTATCCGCGCACGCCCCCCAGGTTTCCTCCGCTTGCTGCCCGGGAGCCTTTAGGGTGGGCGTGAGATGCCTCCCCCTGCCGGTGGGAGGCAAATTGGTTGCCGGTAGCTGCACTTTCGTTGCGATGTCGCTCATCTATGTCACTATTGGCCACAGCCTCTTTTGCTCGTGCAACCATTTGTAGTGGTTGTGCCTTTGAAATGCTGTTTTCCACGGCCTGCTAAGCGTTGCAACGTGATGACTTCTGCAGATCATCACCAACCTTCGTGCTGCAATTCCTACGCGCCTGCTGCCTGTTCTTGAACAAGGTTGATGCGCTTGCAACCGGATCTGGCAAGGGTGACCTTTCCCCTTGTCCGCATAAGAAGGCCGCCTTTGAATGGCCTTCAAGGACAACTGCGCAGGTCCTGATACAGCAAACTCATTTCGTCGCGAATTCGGGCCCACTTAGTTAGTCAGTCACTCTTTTGTTTCACACGTTTCACTTAGCACAGGCGAAACTCTGCTTCCTTGGTTTTGGTGCTTGTCTTTTGGGGTGTTTTTTGGGTTGATTTGGGTTTGGTGTTGCTCTCCCCTTTCAATAAGCAGAGTCTCCATCCTTCTCATGATGACCTGGGCGCACCGCCCACATGGCGTCCGTACTCGTGGAAAAAAAGGAGAACTCTTCTCACAAGACAGTACACCGCAAGCGTAGAGCGATCTGTTGTCTTCCACCTCATCCTGGTCACCCTGGCTGGGGATGAAATCCAGCTGCCAATCGAATTACAAGAATTTGATCGCCTTGGTGAGTTTGAGAATGCGGTAATCGAGAGTCTCCCACTCATAGGCAAGCATAGCACCTTTGGTTGTGAGCTGGAGTTTGTCAGCATGAGCACCCAGAGAATCCTTGCTGACCCCATTTGGGACACCCTGCATGAATGCAACTGCTTCAGCCTCGTTGTGCGACGGTGCTTTATACAGGCGGAACACAAAGGGCAGCTGCGACAAAGAGCCAAAGCCATCTCTGTTCCTGCCGAAGACAACGATCGAGTGCTGCCCAATGTCAGCGACTCCAAATCGTCAAGCCACCGGACGCTGTCGTTTGCCTGCAGGACGGTGTGTTCCAAAGATGCTACGAGCTCAGAACTGTTCTTGTCCCAGGATGCAAAAAATTCGGACGCAGCGTGTTTGCGGAATGCTGCTCCTTGTCCCAGATAGGAGCTGCTGAAGACACAACCAACCTGCTGGCCCCGGCATGCCCAGGTCTCCCCGCATGCCTTTCAGAGATGCCTCGCACTTCGGCAGATTAATTTCGAGAAGACAGAGGCCAACCCGTGGCAAAGCTGTTTTGGAGTCACCGCCACAAGCAGGTGATGCATCTCTGTCATTCTCCTCCCCTCGGGGAGGAGTTGTCCCCGTTTGTAGGAATGCCTCAACTTCGTGCCTGCATGGAGGCGGCAACGCTGCAGCTTTGCTTGCGACAGCCTGAAGCTCTTGTAAGCTGCTAGCAGTGGTTTTTCCCTGCGCCATATCCATGCTGCCTTGCGAGCACCCTGCAGTTTTGTTCGTCTCGGGATCCCCAATGATGCATGAACCAATAGCTGCCTGCAAGGCATTCCAATGCCCTCCAAACTGCTCTCGCGACGCAATTTCGCCCATAGTGTTCTGCCAGGAAGTGCCGTCCTTGACATGCACGAAAACTCAGCACCAAGAAAGGCGTCACGCTGTCGCAAGGAATGAAACCCAGCACTCCATGGTGGCGAAGATGTACTGAGAGCCAACCGAATTCATCGCCCTTGTTTCACCTCCTCTCATTTTGGCTTACGCGGCCTCTTGAGCTACACCCCAGGTTGCAGTTTGTGTTTTGGGGGTTGGGTTTTGGTTTGCGGTTTGTTTTGGTGGGGTTTTGCGGTTGTCTTTTTTGGTCTTCTGGGTGTCTTCTCTACTGCAATCTGGATTGTAACTCTCTCTTCACTAGCATAAGACGATGACCTGTGCAACCTCTGCACACATGGCGTCTTCACCCGTGCAAAATGGCCCTCTGCTTGATTTTTTTCGAAAAGAGTGAAGAGGCGCAACAACGCCGGATCCGGTAAAGCGAACTTTGGGGACGACGGAAAAAATCCTGATGGGTGGCAAAAACCCTTCCACATCGGGGCAGCAGTCCTGAGGCCCACAAAAGACCGGGGACCATGCGTCGCGGAGCAATGCCGCGCCGGCACTGCGACCTGAAGTGATCCGAGTTTCGCACGAAAGCGACCATGGAGGTGGGCGGGATCGTTTAATCCATCTGGCAGCACCCTTGATGGTCTTGATGTTGTTCTTCCAATTGCGAAGGGCATTTCTTTGGGAGGCAAAAAGAAGATCATCCAAAAGATGCCCAAGGGAGTTCCTCACGGAGCCCCAGTCAGAAGCAACCCGAACGGAAGGGATTCCCAAAAGATGACAACAGTTGTGGCCACCCTTAAGAAGCTGGGCAGAAGGAAAAATTCCACGGCGGAAATTTGACAAAAGTTCTTCGACGCGCCGCAACGCACGCCGGATTTGCCGCTCCCGCAAGCTTTGACCTTCACCTGACTCGAAAGGGAGGAGACTCTTCACTCCGTGGTTTAGGAGAGGAATCGGGGTGAGAATTGAGGACCGGATGGGATCATACCGGAAGCCCGAAGGAATCGTTCCGCGTCGAAGGAGACTCCATGTTCCCAGAGAGACACCACGTTACCAGGAGTACTTTTTCAGTACTTGCACAGCATGATACTTGCATTTTTCTCAAGCTTCAAAGCGCGGCTGCAAAGTTTGCTGTTCGGCAAGTTGCGGTCTCAGACTATCACTATTTCAAATTGCAAAACACATTGTTTTGCGTGTCAGGCGTTTGCTGGTGTTGTCGTTGGCAGCCTTTCTTCCTGCAGAGTTTTGCAAACGCACATGTGCACCATGAACTTGTTTGTAGAAATTTCTTTGCACAATGAGATCCGACTTTTGTTTCATCGAGTTCATGAGGGCATTTGGAGAAGCCACAACTACCCTTGCACATAAGGCTGATGGCCGTGTGGATTCAGGCGGTTTCAATGGTTTGCATTTGGCATGCTGTGGATTGAAATCATTGGTGCTTAGAATAGTAGCCGGCCAAAATGCAGAAACACTGTATTCCACCCGTGCACGTTCCTCACCATAGTTTTTACATATACTTATATGTATATGTACTATAACAACACAGTTTTCATTGCACCCATGTGCTGCCTCACTCCCTTGTTTTGTTGAACACATGTGCATTGTTCCAACAAGTCCAAGTTTGTCAATCGACTGCTGACCACAGAACCGCAGGTTTGCTAAGTCAATGAACAGGAATGCGTGGCTTGGCAGCAGTTCGAGTTTTAGGAAACACTGAGCCCCACACGAGTTTTGTCATTCTCCTTATCAAACGTTTTTTTGACACACAAATTCATCTTTTTGGTGGCCCAGCAAGGAACTACAACATCCGCGAAAGAATGGCAAACCGGTTTGAGGCACGCTGGACATGACAACAAAACCATTTGTTGTGTTTTTGTTGCACCTTACCTCATTTTCTATGGCAGACATTATATATTGGCACTTAGCTGAGTTCCTCGGAAAGCAACACAACCGTACAGTATGTATCTCACTCTTAAAGTCATCAAACTGAAGTTTGAACCCAGTATTCAAGAGGAGTGGAGGCCCTGTGGGCTTTTGTCTTCATGGCTCCAGTGCAGCTAAAGAGGATGGACACTGCCCGGGCGCTCTCTTCATTTTAACTCACTGCATGTTCTCCACTTCCGTGCTGGAAAGGCGCACCTCCCTTGACCCCCAAATGGAGTCCGAAGCGGGGCGCCGGGTGGCGCTCTTTGACAAAGAGAATCGTCCGAACTTGGCCAACATCCAGAGCAAAGAGGCCAACAAAGCCAAGGTGCCAGCCTCAACTTGTTTGAATTCAATAAAATGGCAAAGGGGACTAGTAGATGCAAAGTTGTGCGTCCGAGTAGATTGTTGCAAAGCATCCTTTCAACTGCAGCATCCCTTGACCTGCTTGCGTGGTCATGCGACATCATAGCAGTGCAGTGTTGCAGTGTCACAGAAAGAGTAAGCCAGTTAGTAAGCAAAGCATTCAACCAAAGCCCTCTATATACGGCATTCCCAGTCCACTTAGAGGTGACTTGAGAGCGGGCCATTTAGAATGCAGCTGGGCTTCCTCAGGACGTGGGCGAATGGTGGCTCCAGCAGCGGCGCGACCAGCAGTCCCTTTGGGAGAAAGGCGAGGCCAAACTGAAGAAGCGCTGTGAAGAGCTGGAGAATGAACGACAGGCGTGGCGGACCTCCTCACTAGAGTATGCGACCAAAGTAAAATTTGTTTCGCTCTAGCCATGACATGGCTCGGCCCTGTTCTGGTTCTGGTTTCGTTTCTTTCTCACATGGTATTTCTTGTTCTTTGTCTCCTTTAGCCTCCTGTTTCCTTCCTTTTCACATATAAATTGCTGTTCCCATGTCGCAATTGTAGTTCAAATCATAATGCAATGCAAAAGCCTGTACAGTAAACGATAAGAACAAAATGGGATGTGTGAGCACCATACTGTATATATATATATAGTCTGGCCCTGGTTCAGGGATCTGGGAACGTAGACTGCTCTTTTGACATAGAATCCCATGTGTTGGGGCTTCGCCGGGCTTCGCTGCTGGTTGCTCGGGAAGTCGAGTTGGCTGCGAGGCTCAAGCAGAGAAGCTGTTGGAGTTGGAAGAACGTTTGAAGTGGGAAGAGGAGCAACGGAAGGCCAGGGATGTGGAGGGGACCCATAAAGCCATAGAAAGCGGTTTGATTTTTCTTTGGTTCACAGGTTATGGACCTATGGATACGGTTTTCTGAGTGATCCTTGGGTTTCAGATGTGTTGTGGACTGTGGACAACAGGATGAGTCTCGCAGGCTCAAGCGCAACGGCTGCAGCTGGTGCTCCGCGGCTCTGAGGCCGTCGAAAAGCTGGCATGTGGGGAGCCTTAGTATCTGACAAGGCATGCCTTGGGTTTTGAAAGTCGGGCATGGCATGCTTCGATCATTCTACTCCCCTGTCCTCCACCTGAGGGTTGCATAATGCTTTCACATGGTGCAAGCTGAAACTGGCAGCTCACCGAGAAGCAGTCCTTGGACTGCTTGTGATGAATGAGGCCTTCAGAAGCTTCATGAGCAGATGCGCCTTCTCAAGGAGAGGACCACTCAGCATGAGGCGGGAATCAGTGACTTCTTTTCCAGGGCTTCATTTCCTTTGACGCCACTTCTGGACAGGGAGCGCACAGAAATTGAACAGTTGTTGATTCCGACAGGAGAAGTTGCAGGCCTTCACCAAAGAGAGGCCATAAAGAGGGGTTCGTCCATGGGGATAGGTTTTGACAAACTTGAGATTTGAATCAGACCTATCAAGCTGCAGGCCGGCTGGTGAAGCTAATGACAGCCCACGTTTGGCGACCTCTATGGAGGCTAGAGTCTCTGGAGTCCGCAGCTACTCAGACTTTCTAGTAACAAGAAGCTACTAGGAACAAAGGGCATCGCTAATAGGATCAAGAAGCTACTAGTAGCTCCTGGCATTTCTACTAGTAACAACAGAAGCTACTAGTAGCTTTCTAGCTTACAAAGTCACAGACGTCTAGGTCCAGCATCACATGTGGTGCTAGAATATGATCGCGGCTCAAGCCTCCGTTTGTTCCTGCCAGACAGCTTGTTCTGTGAGGCTGTGGGAGAGGTAGAAAAGCTGAAGCAGGAGCCGCTGGTGCAAAAACGGAACAGGTGCTTGGAACATGTGCTTGAGACCCTTCATGTTCAACTTCACTGTGCCAAGAGACAATCCCCAAAACAGAGAAACATTCCGATCCTTCTCTTGGTAATGTTTTGTGTTCTTGTTTCTTTAGACCTTTCTCGTCTCTTCTCTCCTCTCTCCTCTCTTCTCTCTCCTCTCTCTTCTCTCTTCTCTCTTCTCTCTTCTCTCTTCTTCTCTCTTCTTTCTTCTCTCTCTTCTCTCTTCTCTCTTCTCTCGTCTCTCTTCTCTCTTCTCTTTTTTTTCTTCTCTTCTCTCTTTTCTTCTCTTTTCCTTCCTCTTTTCTCTTCTCTTTTTTCCTCTCTTTTCTCCCTTCTTTTCTCTTCTCTCTTCTCTTCGCTTTTATCTTCTCTCTTCTCTCTTCTCTTCCTCTTCCTCTTCCTCTTCCTTTTCCTCTTCCTCTTCCTCTTCCTCTTCCTCTCCCTCTCTCTCTCTCTCAGTCTCTTTCTCTTTCTCTTTCTCTTTCTCTTTCTCTGCTCTCCTCTCCTCTCCTCTCCTCTCCTCAAGCAGCGATTTCTTTCTTTTAATTGCTTTGTAGGATTCCCACAAATATTGCAGTCAGCCGCGACTCTGCCGGCCCGTGGCGTTTGAGTTTTCAGGAGCTACAGCAGATCAAGGCAGAGCTGGCCGAAGCGCAGGCTGAAGCTGAGGTCCGCAAAAAGTGTTCCCGTGAGGTGCGCCGAAGATGCCCGGAACCGGCTGAGGTAAAAGAGTAGAGCAGGCGACATAGAGCATGACGAACTCTGGAGAGGGTAAAAGACGGATGGTCCTTGGAGTCCTTGACCAATTTTTGTGCAACGCTTGACAGTTTTGGGCACTTTGCCAGGTACAAGAGGAGTTACAGCGTGATTGTGATTCATGGCAGCGTCACGCGCGGACATTGGAGCTTGCCACAGCTGGTGCAGGCTGGTCATACCTACAGAGCACGGCGTCATAGTAAGATTAAGTTGCTGGAAGCACTCAGACTAAAGTGGATTTCTAGTGAATAGCTCTTGGCTGAACCCTGGAGTAAACCTTGTTGGGCTTCTACATGACCAACCCAACTAGATGAACCATAAGCCATAAGCAAAATCTTGAAAAGTGCACAAAGCACTTCATTTCAAACTGTTCAGACGTCATAGACAGAAGGGCTTAGATTATATAAACCTTAGATGCTCACATTGTCCACCTTGGACTCTCGTCGGGAAAGGTTTAGATTAGATCCCTACATCATGTTACATCGTCTTTATCTTCACACATGCCTTCGCTCCACACAAGCACAATTTCAGTCTGCAAGCATTGAACACGGGGAACAGCCCCTTCTGCAACCACTTGCTCCTCACTGTCAAGATTTCTGCTTGATGCAGGAAAAAGGTACTATTTTTCGATGGTTAGGGCTAGGGTCATAATGGGTCATACATACATGGGCAGTTTCTTCTTATGTCAGGTGCACTGCAAGCTCAGCAGTAACCATGTGATGAGCACACCGTTCATGTCAAGAGGCTAACAGAGAGTAGGAGTGGTAAGCAAATTGTCAAATTGTCAGAGCTTAAGAAAGCTGTCCATGGAAACCATTGCTGAATGTCCAATCTCAAAGGGTCAGTCCGCCGATTGAATAAAAGTTGCACTCTCAAAGACATCTGGGCCTCCTCCAACTCAGAGTGAGGAAGACTCAACTCTGGAGTTGGAGCCGATGCGAATACGCAACCACAGACGATGAAGAAACCTTGAGAGGCAGGTCAGCGAATGAAAGGCATCTGACTTTCAGACTCCATCCTCCAGGTCCTCGATTCGGACTTTATATAACTCCAACGTTAGGACTTGGAACTCCGACTTTCAGTCTGCCTGAATCAGGTTTATTTGTATCAGGCAGACTGAAAGTCCCTGGACTCCAGACAATCACGGGCCATTGCGTTCTGAGATCCTTTGCCTTAGCCTCAAGCCGTTCAAGCCTCTCCCAGGCTGCTGCTCCTGCGAAAGGCTCTTCGCTGAGGGACGAGAGTTGAGCGCCACCGTGGCCATGCTGCAGGAGCAGCTGAGATTTTTGTGATGGTTCTCGGAAGAACATATGTCAAAGTTGTTGACCTTTATTTTGCCGTGCTTGAATAGTTGTTTCAATTTGTTTCGTGTAGAATTCTTGCTTTTCAACCGAGAGCTGTCCGATACATTCAAGGATCAATGCGAGACTTTGGAAGTGCGGCCCTCAGACTCAGCTTGCGGCGATGGCGATTTGGCTGGGCCGTTTAGTCTCGAAGGTTGAAAACCAAAGCCTCAAGGGGAAAGTCGAGTCTCTTCAGGCCCGAGCGTTGAACAAGCATTGTCAACTGGCGTTTTCTAGTTACGATTCTAGTTGCTTGGACCTCACCGAATTGTTTTTTTGTGCAGGAGAACCTGGAGTATGTCTCCTCTTCTCATGCTGAACTTGCTGGTCATGTCAATCACAGGCAGAAGATTCGCCACACGATTCAGCTCAAGGAGGACAGAGATAATATGCGAGAGGAGATTCTTGTCACAGAAATGCAAGCCGCCAGGCTAGCCGTTCAAGGGGCGCAACATGCAAACGACAAGCGGAACTAATGATTGCTGACTGCTTTACACAAGGGAGGTGACCGTTTGGCAGACAAAGATTGATGTTTCTGTCCGAGTTGTTTTGAACGTGAGAAACAAGATCGGCCTTATATTTTACATCAAAGTTTCTGAGCACTGTTGGCACTTGAGTTTGTCCTTCTAAGGAATTTTCGGTTGAAGCAGCGAATCCGACAGCTGGAGGCCTCTGAGCACATGAATGTATTTCCAAAGTTTAAGGTCTACCATGATCAAGCACCTCAATACTAGAGCCTAAGGCAGTGTTCATTCTACAGTCAATATAGCAGACTTTGAGACTTCTGACTTCAAAGTATGATGAGCAGAATTGCGTGAGGCGAGCAGGAGCAGCCAAAGCATCATCAATGCTGTGGCTGGCTTTACAGGCCAGCTTGCTTAACTTGGACATTGATCGGTTTTGGTGTGTTTGGAAAATCGCTACATCTAGAAAACGGTCTGGAGATTCATCACTTGCTCCAGATAAAGGATGAGAAGGTGTGAAGGCAACATTTTCCCTGCAGGAGCAACGCCTGATGCAAAGAACTGCACATTGCAGAGATCTTCAAAGCCAGGATTCAGGCATGAACCGATCCGATCAATTCAATGCATACATGACCAAGCCACTGAATGTGACTTTGAATTGTAATTGAACGTATGTACCACATCTACATATATATATATATATGTATACTTCCATATAAGTTTCCCTAAAAATCTAGGAACCAAATCATTAGTGCGAGTGCTTCCTTGAAGAAGCGTGAGCTATCATTCATCCATGCTAGCTGCTACTAGCTTAAGTAAGGTACTAGCTACCTCTCCCTTACTTACAGTAATTAAGTAGGCGTTTACTTAATTAAGTAGGGAGCGGGGAACGGCCTAAAAAAGAAAAAGAAAAGTCACCATTGTCATGAGAGTCTGACTTTGGTCCTGAGACCTGAGAGGCAGCCACGGGTCAGTGGATTGGATGGAAGCGTGCCTTGGTATGAGATTTATAGGCGAGCTGCTTCCGGATCAATCCCTGGAGGTCTACTGAACCGTCTGACTCAATCTTCTTTTCATGGAGTCATTCTAACGTTTTGTTTCTCTATACAGTTGGAATGAGGGTTCGATCGACAACTTTTCTATCCAAAAGCGGGTGTGCTAAGGATCAGAAATTGGAGATGACACGAGTCCAGCAACTCGAGCAGCTTGGTCGACAATTCGGGCAAAGACAAGGATGTTTAACCTTTTGCAGAAAACACATAGCTAGATGTTAAAAGCAAACACAGCTCATCAAAACTTGTGAGCCATTTGAGGCGTGAGCTTGAGCGGAACAAGAACAATGTAATGCATTTCATGGCCTTGATTCAACGCGCAGTGTCGGGAACCTATGGACAAACTCGTTTGTTTCAGTCCGACGAAAAAAGATCTCACACATGAGCAGAAAAGAAGCTTTGGTTTCTGTGGCTTTGCATTTCGTGGGTCGGTGACGGTCTCCGGGTTCCTCTTGAGAACAACCAAGTCCTGAGGGCCCAAGATGACGCTGGGGATGCGGCGAGCTTGCTCAGCGCCCTGCGTTCAAGGTAGAGCTTGGGATCAGAAGGGATCACAAGCTGTCCGCATGGCGAGCATGGTTGAGAAATTGGACCAACAATTCACCTGAAGAAGCTGTTGTTCCTTTTTGCTGACTGGTCTATTTTGCTCAACAGCGTTGCTTCCAATGGTTTGAGGAGGAAACCAGTCAGGAGAAAACCTTGCAAGAAGCCCTTGGATTTACCTACATGAGCCCCTTGTATCAAGCTCTTTGAAGCTACCCCAAAAGGGCCACCAAGCTTTGCTGAAGGGTCTTGTGCTGGTGACGGCTGCTGCAAGAGTCTTGGAAAAGCTTTTGATGACTGATAAAGACAAGTGGAGTACTTCTGCTATACTTTTGACTTTAGTCATCTCTATCTACAAGCACAGGGTTTGACTGGCAGTTCAATGCTCATAGAAAAGCACATCCGCTGGCACTTGCAATCGTTTCAACCCAGATCGTTGGCAGGTTTCTCGGCTGAGGGTGCCGACGATTTGCGACAATGGAAGTGGCCTTCAGAGCCACACAAGGATCATGTACTGTGTTTTTGCATGCTTTTGCTCTAAGACTTTCTTTCCTTTCATCTTCATCCAGTTTTGGGAGAATATTCATTGTCCCCCATGTGTGCCTTTGTGCGTTGTTGTGAGAATTTGTAATTCAGCTTCGCTTAGTGCAGAGGTTGGAGCAGTGCCTTGTCAATTGACGAACGAGGAAAGCTCTCCACCCTGCACCAAAGTGTCATTGCACAGTTGTTTGGCCTGGCAGTCCTTGGTGGCTACGTCACCTGCGCCAGGGATAGCTGCAAAAAGATGCCTTTCGTGGGGCATTTGTGGATTCCACATGTTGAAGCATCGAGTACACTTGGAAGTTTCAGAATGAACAGTAAAGCAAGGACGCTACTAGGACTACTAGGAGCAAGGACGCTATTAGGGGCTCCTTGCCTTACTACTAGGAGCAAGGACGCTACTAGGACAAGATTCTCTGGTTCTCCACGATGCCAAGGATCCTGACAACCCCTTCAGGTACTTGATATTCGTCTTACTTAAAACCCTGTACCCTATGCAGTATCACTTGGCTCGCAAATTGAAATTGTGTATTGCAAAATGTCCAGCCTTCTTTTAGAGCCACTTGCAACAGATTGGTATCGGATGCCGCCCACAGTGTATGATTCGATTCTGCTCGACGGCAGGTAGATCAGCGTGCAGCACTTTTTGGTAGCCGATTTCCAGGCGAAGCACTTTTCCATCAATTCTGGAGGTTGTCGATCTTCTCTGTAGAATCACAACCCCTTTCAATTAACCGAACACCTGACACGTAAAGGTCTTTCCTTCCGTTTGAGTGGGAGGCTGTTTATGCTTGACCCAGTTGCGGGAAATAGATCAGTACCTGAGTACAAAACATGAAAAGCTTAAAACTTAGCCCCCACTGCAACTTGAAGCCAACTCGTCTAATCTCCAGTACTCTCAATGACTCTTGGCAGTCGGGAAGCTTTTGTTGCCTTTGAGTGCCAAATGAGACTTCCACATCCCTTGATTCGCTGAGCTAGCTGTCAACTGGTGAAATGTGTCCGAGATAGAAACGACGTCTAAGATATCATGCAGAAGTGTCCCAGAAGCTGAACTTTTCACGTGCACGCTTTCCAAGTTTTGGTAGAGCACGCTTCGCTTTTGGTGTCATGTCCCCGTTTTCGAGTCGAGTTTTCGAGGCAAAGGTGCGCAAAAGCCAAAAGATGACATGTATGCAGCGACATCAAGGCCCCGAGCTTGTGCTTGTGATGTTGATTCTGTGAGTGGCTTTGTGCAGTTACAAATTCAGACCATGGAACTTGCATGCTTTTTTGATTGCAGTTGTCTTTTTAATGTAATTTCCGTGCATAGCTCGGTGGTGTTTGAGGGAGATGATGGAGCGTCAGAATGATGCAGCTATCGAGGAGTCACATTCCTGCTTGGATAGTTTTTAAATGTTATCAAAGCATCCATCCAGCAGGGACAGGGTTGCGTGAATCAACCGCTAGACTGTGGCCTCTGTCATGAAGCGCAAGGTATGATATAGACATTTTTCTTACCCAACCTCAAAATGCCTTCTACCAGGTGCTGAACATTCGCAATCATTTTGGCAACCGAGGACCTTGAGGACAAGGTTGGGCAGCTGAAGGACATCACAAGGAGCTGGGGGGCCTTGAGACCAGAGCATCACCAGAGCCTTGTGCACTTTGGGTAGCCAGGTCTTGCCGGATATTTGTAGCCATAGTGTACTACATGAGTACTACAGAGTGTCTTGCATTGCATTTCTGCCGCGGAAGCTCAGAGCTTCGAGGAGCATTGGGTCATCCATCAAAGATTCGAACAGCTTGCTGGACCAGATGGGCATCGAGCTCAATCCTTTGACATCAGTTACTCCCAGTTGCAAGGGTGCTATTAGGTTGGAGGCCATCGCTATTAGAATCTAACTAGACAAGTTGGTCAATTTTTGATGTTCATCAGCTCGATCGAGGAATCGACTTCGACAAGGCGGCGAGCCTTTTGAAGGGCACCCTCGGTCATCTCAAGGTGAGGGGTCGCAGCTGCGCGGCCTTGCTGTGTGTGCGCCTCGCTTTGCTTTGATGCAGTTGGATTGGACGTGGAAGCATGTTGCTGGATTGTTATGAAATCGACAGGGCATGATGGCCAACAAGAGTAGCAAGCACATGATCTACATGGTGCTTTTTGCTCCTTGAAAGCACCAAGTATTTGTCATTCAGTGGTGATGACTTGTTGTTTCGATCTGTGTTCAATGTTCAAGTCTAAGGTTTTGTGCCTCTTCATGCTGATGTACTTCCTCAGGAAGCTAAGCTTCGGGCTACAAGCTCAGACTGGTCGACAGGAGAGGAACGACAGGAATACTGTAAGCCAATTGATGAGAAGGCACATACAGGATGAAACAGGCAGAATGTTCAATGAACATCATTGAGTGCCTTTATTCTAAGCTCTAGTGCTATACAATGCTATTGCCTTTGGGCTCTTCGAGGTCTGGAGGCGCCACTTCAATCCAGTTGTGAGCGACTCAGTACGGTCGACTCCCAGGATACCTTCGTTCTTTCGCAGCTTTCTGAAAGCTATGACGGAGTGCAAGCGAGGGTCGTCCATGCGAAAGAAAACACGTATACTCTGCGTATTTAATGTTCTGTAGCTAAGGAAGGAGAATGCGTCTCAAGGAAACTGAGACAAAACATGCAGCGGTTCTCTGTCTTGGAAGAAATAATTCCTTGCTGTGCAGATGAGATCCGCCAAGCCAGTTTTTGAACATGGATTTTCAGTCATGGCAGAGTACACTTTCTTTGGTAAAAATGGGTCGGCCATATATGAGTACCAGAATAGTCCCGGCAACACATAAGGTCTTCTTTTGCTTCAAACCTTCCGTCAGCATACGCTTGGCATTTCTCCCTGGGCCAAGCAACAGACCAGCCGGCCTGGCAAAAAAAGGGCCACAGCATGCTGCAGTGCACGACGAATTGGACTTGATTTTGGCATCTCAAAGTGACTCTGTTCAACACCATTTCACAGGCCCCAAAGGGCTAGACGCGCGATGAAAAGATGTCCGCCACGGCCATTCATGTTTGGCTTACAGTTTGCAGCGATCCTTCCGTCACAAGGCCCGGTGCGTTGATTCTCGGAAGCTCCGACTCACGGAGACTGAAGGGCGGGGGATGTTTCAGTTCTCACGGAGAGCGGTCTGTCAAGTGGAAGGAAGCGAAGCATAAATATGATTTCCAGATGGTACCCGGACCTGACCAGTACTGTGCCCATCTATATACTGTACTTGATCTATTTAAACATATTTAAACAACCATATCAAATCGAAAGTGCACATGCACCAGTTGGCAACCAGCTTCATTGTCAGGTTGAGAAGGATGCGAACAGAATTCACTGAAACTGACAACATCAATGGAGTTCAGGCTGAGGATTGCTGTCCTGTTTATGGTTGTAAATGTAGGCCAGAGATATTGCATGGCGGAACGCAGCGTGAATCAACCTGTCCTACGTACTACTTGTTCTGACTGTCATAGGATGTTGGACCGGCCTTCTCAGCATAACAAAGTCTGTTCATGGCTTCGCCCACGGCCTGATATGCTTGGCTCAGCAAGTACAGACCGACTGGTTAAGTTACCTTTCACAGACAAACTCCCTAGCATCATGGCAGA